AAGGGATGTAGTCTAGATGTAGCCTGATTGTCTTCAGCCGGTTTTACTACTACCTTCCCATCCCATAAGGACACTTGAAAACACCTGAAACCCAAAGACTGGAACGAGGGAGGGAACAGCTGCTGACCCAGGCTGTGAAACAATCTGCTTGGAACAATATTTAAAGTGAGAAATATTAGTTGTAGTTAACTTCTATAATGTACTAAGGGACAGCAAGTGTGATTTGTTTATTTACCGAAGTGGCCTTCTTTGTTCTGTTTGTTACCACTTAAAATCTCTTCTACTTTTAGTTAATTTTTTTTTCTGGTTTATAACCCAGTTTATATAATTTCTAAGGTGGGGGAGGTGAGAAGCTGTGCGTACTTTCCTTCACATTTAGGAAAGAGAAGACCATCATGTAATTTTGGGTTTGTACCCCAACTCAGGGGTGTGTGTGTGAACATCTGGGTGCTGGAGTAAATCCCATAAGCTGGGTTTTCCCAGAGCTGATCTCAGTGTCTGTATCTGCAGCTGAGTGTGGCTTTGCCTGTGGGTTTTGCTAGTGGAGGCTGGAGGGCCTGATTCAGCAAGGTTAGGTAACAGGCTGGCAGAGAAGGGAGGGTTAATGATGTCTAAGCAACTCAGGTGATATCTCAGGGGTCTTGACCCATCACATTCATCATTACAGAATCTGGCCAAACAGGCTAAATTTGCATATGAAGCAGTGAACATGCAGTAGTTCAAACACGTACTCACTCAAGTATGCATATATTTAAATTAAACCTAATTAACCTCAAGTATGTCTCACCAACCCACTCAAAAGCAGGCAGGATTCATAAGCCATTATGGGCACCTTCCTGTCTTAAGGAAGGAGTTGGGGCTCTGACTATAACAGCATACCTGCTTCCCAGGGAAGGATTCTCATGTGCACTGTAGTCCATTCTCTGAATGATGAACCAGGGCTGTTGATTTTTCTATAGCCACATTGTAACAGCTTAGATTTCAGTGATGGAATCCCTGGAATGGACTAGCCCGTGCCTGAGGAACAAGAGAGGCAGGCTGTCTTTGCTTACTTGACAATACAGCCTGTCACAGTTAAACAAAGCTGGTGGCTCTTTGGCTGTCACACAAAAGGGTCAGGTTTGTTGGATGGTCTCCAGGATAGTGCTCATGTGTCTCCCCAGGACAATCAACTAGAACTGTTATAAGAGAACACTTCATCTCCTCCTCCTCCATTGAAAGCCCATACTTGAGATCAGAGCAGTGACCTACCAGCTCCATGGTTATTTTAGAAACTACAAAGGTGTGTTGTTTAAATACCCTACTGGGACTCTGGTGTTAGGAACAAGAAGGGCATTTTTCCTACACTGGTCATCTCACACCAGCTTTAATACCACAACTGGTGGTATGACCAGTATAGGAAAGGGAGCACATTTTGGCTGTGTCCAGACTCAGGGTTTTTTTCGAAAAAAGTAGCCTTTTTTTGAAAATACTTCCCCTGCATCCAGACTCAAGCCGCGTTCTTTCGAAATTAATTCGAAAGAACGCGGCTTTTCTTTCGATGGCGGTAAACCTCAATTTACGAGGAAGAACGCCTTCTTTCGAAAGTTTCTCTTTCGAAAGAAGGCGTTCTTCAATGTAAATAGGGCGTCTTCGAAAGAGAGCATCCAGACTCACTGGATGCTTTCTTTCGAAAAAGCAAGCCGCTTTTTCAAAATTTCTCCGTGCAGTCTAGACGCTCTCTTTCGAAAGAGGCTCTTTCGAAAGATGCTTTCAAAAGAGCCTCTTTCGAAAGAAGCCTGCAGTCTAGACATAGCCTTTGTGTGCACTAAATCAGCTTTGGCCACTAGTGAGGCTGGGGGGGGAGTGGAGGCCAATCCCCATTTAAAGATCATTCTCAGAATAGGAGTAGGATTTTATATTTATATTTTAGGTTTAATAATGTAGTAATGTATGACTCGATTTCATCCTGCCAGCCACCCTCTTTATAACCCTCTGGGGCATTGGTAGAAACGCATCTGACAGACTGCCAGTGTCTGTACCAATGTTCAGACAGGGACAGACCATTAGGCCCTTTAGTTAAATATACATTTGTTTGTTTTAAGATTTAGTAAGTAAGCTTTCTTTGTTTTAAGGTATAGTAAGTAAAAGACAGGATCTTGTATTGTGTCTGTTAATAAGATTAGAGGAATGTTGAAGGCCTGGGTCACAGTGTGAACTGTTTTGATTACAAGATTTAGTAAGGCTTAATTTACAATGCTTTTTTATTGCTCAATATAAAACACTGCTGTTTGTATACCTTTGACGGTCTTTGTAAAAGACTGTGTGAATGAGGAATGTATCCATCAGAAAAAGATAAGGTGTGAAGGCCATTGTTAAATCCAGATGGTCAAGAGAGGAGGGGTGAAGAGACTTATCAACACCAGAGAACCATCAGTGCACATTTATGATTAAGGAAGGCCAGATTGATGACCCTAAGGGGGAGCTGGCACCCCTAAAGACAATTGATTAACTCAATCCAGGACAGGATGACCCTCTCAGGTGTTTTGGAATGTTAATATCAAAAGATAACACCAATTAAGGAGTAACTGGTCACAAACTGACACAACAAAATACATAGACTTCAACAGAGAAAAGAGGATTATAAGAACAGGGTACTTTGCCATGGGACTTTGGATTTGTCTTGCCACCAATACCAGGAGAATTGGATCACAACTGACAAAGCCTGGCTCCCCTCTGTGATCAATCTGGCTGGCCACTAGATTGATCTAGACTCTGGACTGGTAACTATAACATCGACTGGCGGGACTGTGTGCATGGTGTGTGTGGGGGGTTGACTGAAAAGCATATGTTAACTGTTGTATTCTCAATAAATGCAGCATACTGCCTTCTCCCCTGTACAAGATCTCATGTGCTTTGTATGGGTATAACATCAGCTTCTTCTCTATCTACCTCAGATTGTTGGTTGAAAAAGGCTCCTAATATAACTCTGGTTTCTGCCTGAGCAACTTGACTCTCCTGCTACCAGTTCACACTCATGAGACAGACAGGTGACTGAAAGGAATCACTGTCCTGAAAAGGACAAGAAATTCTGGTTATACCAGTTAAAGGTGGAGGCATCAGTGACATAGCAGTGGCAGAACAGGAAATAAATATAGCACTGACTGGAAGGACAAAACCCAAGTCAGTGCAAGATAAAGGAGATTCATATCAAGGAAAAATTTTCCTTCCTGTAGCTACTCTGCATTGGTTCCAAGTTCAGAACTCCCTACATATCCAATGTAGTTGTAGCTGTGTTGGTCCTAGAACATTAGAAAGACTAGGTGGGTGAGATGATATTTTTTTATTGAACCAACTGCAGTTGGATCTGTAGACAAGCTTTCAAGCTTACGCAGAGTTCTTCTTCAGATCGGAGAATGTCACAGCTACATACAAGGTGGAACCAATTGTTCAGGATAAGCAGTTAGCATATTTCAATGGACCATTAAAAAGTGGCTTGGCCCATCTCCATTCATAGGTGAGAAAGGGAACAGGTAAAAGGTAGCTGGGAAACGGGAACAGTTAAAGGGTTATAGACTGCTGTAATAATCCATAAAAATTCTCAGTCAATGATTTTTAATGTCTAACAAAACCATCATCTTGAGTTCCCAGGCTCATCTTTTGAAGATATTGTGCAGGTTTCTTTTGAAGATGAGGACTAAGAGGTCAGATACGGATTGATCTGTTTGTGACAAGTATTTCCCTGGGTGATATGGAGTTTGTCTTTTATAATTGAATTGTTCTCTGTGAGTTCATTTGAGAGCATAGTGATTGTCTGGTTTTACCTACATACTTGTTATTGGGGTATTTAGTGCGGTGGATGAGGTACACCACATGAATCTTAAAATGTGTGTTATGGAGGGTTTTGATCATTGTCATGGTATAGCTATTTCTACAGTTTTTGCATCTGTTCTGCTGGCAGGGTCTGGTGGAAACTTGTGTCTGATGATGAGATTGAAGAGGTTGGGGGTTTGTTTGAAGGCCAGATGAGGGAGCTCAGGAAAATTTCTTTCAGGATGTGGGCCCATCAAGTTTAATGATACCTTGTATGGATTCCATTATATGGTGGCTGATCTCATATAGGGGTGTAAAAATGAATAAAAATATTAATCATGTAACTGATAAAAATTCTATCAGTTACACGGTTAACATCCACAGAAATCTTGTGGAATGAGGACAATCAGTGGGACACAATTATACCAGGATATAAAATATATTGGAAGGACAGAATAGGTCATGCGGGTGGCAGAGTGGCACTATATGTGAAAGATAATGTAGAATCAAATGAAGTAAAAACCTTAAATGAATCAACATGTTCCATAGAATCACTATGGATAGTAATTCCATGTTCTAATAAGAATATAACAGTAGGGATAAATTATCAACCACCTGACCAGGACAGTGATAGTGACGTTGAAATGTTATGGGAGATTAGAGATTCTATCAAAATAAAAAACTCAATAATAATGGGGGATTTCAATTATCCCCATATTGACTGGTGTGACGGCTTGTTGTCCGGGCGTGAGCACGTGTCCCCCCTTCTCGAGGTCACGGCCCAGCGAGCCCTCCGTCTGTCCCCTTGGTTCTCAGTGTTTTAATGGGTGCGAGCTCCCGCCGGTTCCTCCCACCCCTGGAGGGGGGCAAGGTGGGGCCCTGCGAGCCTGATGTTCACCGCCCCTCTCCCGGGGCTACCATCCACTCTCCTTTGCCGAGCGGCGGGGCTATCTCCCGCTCCTTTCACCCGGTTTTCGTGGGGGTGACATGCTGGAGAGAGCCGGGGAGGGTTAGGGGGACCCGGGCCCTCCCTCTCCTCCGGGTCCCAGCCTGGGACCCTAAAGGTTTGGGGCACTACTCCTTCACCTGGCTGACGGGGTTCCGACCCGCAGCGCGTCAGCCCACGGGCGCCAAAAGGGCCCTGTCCCGGGCTGCTTCCTAGCTGGCCCCGAGGCCAGGGCTCCAGCCCCCGTGCCGCCGGTTCTCACCTCCTCGTCCGCCGTGCTGAGGTTTCGGGTCCTCTGCTCCTCCGGTGTCCCGCTCATCTCTGCAGCGTCCCTCCTCCTGCCTTGGCTCGCCGCCTCCTTTTAAACCTCCCGACGGAGGTTACGTCCTGGTGTCCCCAGGCCGGGGCGCCGGGGGCGGAGTCATGCCCCGGCATATCCCGCCGGGGCCGCGCTCGTCTTGCCCTGCCCACCGGCCAGCTCTCTTCCCCGGGACTCTGCTTCAGGTGGCGTTCGGCGGGTGCGTCTCTTTGGCCGCGTGCTGGTGCGATAGCCCCTCCTGGGTGCTCTGCCGGGGTCTGGGCTGCTGCCCGCCCCACTCTAGTGCAGGCCGCCGCTGGCCCGTCACAACTGGGTACATGTGATCTCAGGACAAGATGCAGAGATAAAATTACTCGATGACTTAAATCACTGCTTCTTGGAGCAGGAACCCACAAGGGGAGAGGCAATTCTTGATTTAGTCCTGAGTGGAGCGCAGGATCTGGTCCAGGAGTTAACTATTACAGGACTGCTTGGGAATAGTGACCATAATATAATAATATTTAACATTCTTGTGGTGGGAAGAACACCTCAGCAGTCCAACACTCTGGCATTTAATTTCAAAAAGGGGAATTACGCAAAAATGAGGAGGTTAGTTAAACAGAAATTAAAAGGTACAGTGACTAAAGTAAAATCCCTGCAAGCTGCATGGACACCTTTCAAAGACACCATAATAGAGGCCCAACTTAAATGTATACCCCAAATTAAAAAATATAGTAAGAGAGCTAAAAAAGAGCCACTGTGGCTTAACAACTATGTAAAAGAAGCAGTGAGAGATAAAAAGGCACCTTTTAAAAAGTGGAAGTCCAATCCTAGTGAGGTAAATAGGAAGGAACATAAACACTGCCAAATTAAGTGTAAAAATGTACAGTAAACTTCCGATAATACAGCACCTTTAGAACCCATGGGGTGCTGGATTATCAGATAAGCCGGAGTACCAGAAGGGGGGCTAAGAGAGGTCTGGGCCGGGGGGATGGCGGGGAACTGCGCGGCATGGGAGAGGGCGGCACTGTGGGACCAACCTGGCAGCACCCCAGCTGCTCTGCTCCCCGCATCCCCCCGTCAGCTGCTGGTCAGTTTCAGCAGCGGCTGACTTGGGGAAG